TATATATATGTAAATAACAGTTTGCATTGATCTACACTATGTGACACAATTTATCTCGACTACAATTCGTACACAATGAAACGTAGCCACAATATAACTACACACAGTAGTATCACTGAGCTGTCGGTATACCTTTGATGTAAAGGCCATCACACACAAAATTCCGTAAGGACATAAAACGTAAGCGTAAGAAAACTGACCAATCCCAATCGAGTATTGGGCTTTCCGTAAAAGTGAAGGGGTTACGGAAAGTCAAATACTCGATTGGGATTGTTCGATTTTCTTACGCTTACGTCTTACGTCCTTATGGAATTTTGTGTGTGATGGCCTTAATTGGCCCAAGCCACATGACCTAGCGCCATATTGAAAATTGTATGCTTAAATTTGACCATAGACATAGTATATCTAGACCGAGCATTTGCCTTTATTTAAGGAGTGGGGGTAAATATACTATGCTATGAATTTGACATACATACATATATACAGGATGTATCTGAAATGATGCACTAAACTTTAGGAGCATATTCTAGAAATCAAAATAAGACTTTTCTTCCTATGAACATGGGTCCGCAAATGAACCCTCCTCCGAGCTAGAGGCCCCTAAAGTTTGGGGAAAAAATTAAAAATTGGCTGTATTTCAGACAAAAAAATTATACCGCCGAATAACCGCAGTCAAATTGAAAGCAGAAAATGTCCGTACTTCAGCCGTCAGTTCTTAACAATGAATTTCACACATTTTCGAATTTTAGCTCGGAGGGGGGTTCATTTGCGGACCCATGTTCATAAGAAAAAAAAATCTTATTTTGATTTCTAGAATACGCTTCTAAAGTTTAGTGCATCATTTTAGATACACCCTGTATATAAAGTTATATAAAGAAAGGTTAAGTCATAATCCTGGGCCACCCATAATGCAATGTAAAGAATCGATGTGTGCGCAGTCGCTATTAAAAAGAGATGCTAAATAAGATAGATTGTTATTGGCTTTCGCGGCCTTTTGCAATGCATCATGGGTTGCTCATTGGTATACATCATCGACATAGAGTACTGGACGCAGCATGCGGCAAGATTTCTTTGTTTTTTCATATTGAGCGACCTAGAAAGAGAGAAGTAGATATTTGGGCACGGATCTCTCATTCTATTCTCGTTTCATTGGTTGAATTTTGTCTAAGGAGAAAGGGAACAGTATCGTATTCTTATAAGTTGGGAACATCCTTATTGCTACTTATAAGTGTGTAACGTATATGAACATAGCATATAAAAGTGATATTATTATATACGTTACAAATAATTCGTAATATGGTTTCTGCCTGTTTATTGTGCAAAACGAGTGGATTAGACAAAGATGTATAAAATTTTGAAATGCCTCATAGGTCTTATAGTTCCATGAGCCTCTCCTACCCACACATCGTCTTATCTCTTTCTATATTGCTACTTATAAGTGTGTAACGTATATGAACATAGCATATAAAAGTGATATTATTATATACGTTACAAATAATTCGTAATATGGTTTCTGCCTGTTTATTGTGCAAAACGAGTGGATTAGACAAAGATGTATAAAATTTTGAAATGCCTCATAGGTCTTATAGTTCCATGAGCCTCTCCTACCCACACATCGTCTTATCTCTTTCTATATTGCTACTTATAAGTGTGTAACGTATATGAACATAGCATATAAAAGTGATATTATTATATACGTTACAAATAATTCGTAATATGGTTTCTGCCTGTTTATTGTGCAAAACGAGTGGATTAGACAAAGATGTATAAAATTTTGAAATGCCTCATAGGTCTTATAGTTCCATGAGCCTCTCCTACCCACACATCGTCTTATCTCTTTCTATATTGCTACTTATAAGTGTGTAACGTATATGAACATAGCATATAAAAGTGATATTATTATATACGTTACAAATAATTCGTAATATGGTTTCTGCCTGTTTATTGTGCAAAACGAGTGGATTAGACAAAGATGTATAAAATTTTGAAATGCCTCATAGGTCTTATAGTTCCATGAGCCTCTCCTACCCACACATCGTCTTATCTCTTTCTATATTGCTACTTATAAGTGTGTAACGTATATGAACATAGCATATAAAAGTGATATTATTATATACGTTACAAATAATTCGTAATATGGTTTCTGCCTGTTTATTGTGCAAAACGAGTGGATTAGACAAAGATGTATAAAATTTTGAAATGCCTCATAGGTCTTATAGTTCCATGAGCCTCTCCTACCCACACATCGTCTTATCTCTTTCTATATTGCTACTTATAAGTGTGTAACGTATATGAACATAGCATATAAAAGTGATATTATTATATACGTTACAAATAATTCGTAATATGGTTTCTGCCTGTTTATTGTGCAAAACGAGTGGATTAGACAAAGATGTATAAAATTTTGAAATGCCTCATAGGTCTTATAGTTCCATGAGCCTCTCCTACCCACACATCGTCTTATCTCTTTCTATGGTCTAGTTTCCACCGTAAGTATCAATTCGCATCTAGCGCGGCGTAGGACTAAATTTAAGTCGATGGAAACGTTAAATTCGATGCGCACCGAAACAGAATCGGACCGATGACTTCGGTGGAAACCGCGGTCCTACGCCGCGCTAGATGCGAATTAATACTTCGTCGGAAACTAGACCTATGTCTGTCAACACGATTTTGGTTCCATGCTCTGTCCAGTACTATATGTCGATGGTATACATAGTATCAATAGTATGACTTAGGGCCACCGCACAAGCTTTTCCATAACACGTTAAGCCCGAATCACACTAGCGGCTCGCGGCTGTTTAAACTTCAGTCAACGCACAAATAAAATTGTAACGTAGTATGCTTTTGTTACGTTACGATTTTCTCTGTGCGTTGAATGAAGTTTAAGATTACGTACGAGTTTAGGTTTAGAATCAGTACTTAACGTAACGTAATGCATTACGGAAAAGCTTGTGCGGTGGCCCTTAACCTTCCTTTATATAACCTTACATATATACATACTATAGACATAGGCTGCGTTCCGATATTCACTGCCAATAAAATCTATAGTTTACGTCACGTGCACTATAGATTTTCAGTACTAGCAGTGAATATCAGAACGCAGCCACATACGCACATAGGCGCCATGTCGTCAATTGGGTAACCAATGCATGCATACTAGAAATTTCGTCTCACACATAGAACAAAAATGACACTACTGTGTAATTATACTGTGACGTAGCTCATTTAAGTGGACTTTTAATTTATCTAAAAAAGTCTCTAGCAATTTCTAAATGTATAAAACAGAAAAAGAATATCGATTAAATGCGTTTAACATATTTTGTATATTATTCTAAAATATATATAATTAAAAAAAAAAGACTACATAAATTCTATTAAGTTAAACTTATATGAAAGAGAATAAAAATGTATCATTTTTATACAAAATATTAGATAAAGCAAATTGCAATAAAGATGAGAAGCAGCTTCACAATCATAGAAATCGTTATAGATTATTTTTCAATTTATACAGAGTGAGGCATCTAAAACAGGCTACCTGAATAAATCAACTGCTTTTCTTCTTCTCTCGGCGGCATCTCCTCCACACTTCTATCTACAAAAAAAACTATTGACATCAGATATTATTCTCCTTGAAACCAAACAAAATTGATCTGATGCATTTTTTCTATCGCAAAAGCAGCCGAGTTATTCAGGTGGCCTGTTTTAGATGCCTCACCCTGTATATAAGAATTTCTTTATCTTTTAAGGGTCGACAGTAGAGTCCTATATAATCAGAGAAGAGACATCGTTACCCCCTCCATGCTTCCCATGATCGCTATGTTGGTCCCGCAGCTGCCCATTTGTAATCTAAAATGTTTTAAAAATGTCTCAGAGATATTTAAAATGTTTGATCATTGTCATTTCGCAGCCGAATAGCTAGTGAGTTAGTCTTACGGATTATACATTAATCTTAACTTCATTATATCATCACTCAATATGTGGAACGTGAATTTTGGCCGTGAGTTTCAACATTGTGCTTTTGGTTTATTTAAATTTGTGCGAGTCTCTTACATCTTCCTATGCAATTAACAGGCACAGTATGGATAGACTTGATAATATGTAATCTGAAGTCTAATTTATATAACAACCGTTAAGCCACCTTCACTACCACACGAAGGATTCATCATTGTGGAATGCGAAGATGACGGGAGATTTTGAGCTCTTACTTTCATTTTAAGTCCGTTTATTGTTAAAAATTATGTTGCGTTTGCGTCAGTTTAATTTAATTAATTTCTTTGCGCTGAAGATGACCCAAATAAAGGGTCGAAACGTACGTCATGTGAATTTATATTAATCTATATTTATTTATATTAATTATTAACATTGTGCGCACTATTTACCGCGCGTGGCTCTAATTGCCTTTTTATATATTATATTTAATTTTATTATCGAGAGCCTCTACTTATATTTATTTTATTTAAAATGTTTTTTTTTTTTTAGAAACTAACATTACTTGGCGTCGGGACGCTTCCGCGTCGCTTGACAAATATACTTTTTTCTCACTTATGGTACGCCGGTTGCGGTTGGTTTGCACGTAGGATTCATTACGGGACCAACATAGGACGCGTTCCACTTAACGACCGCAACGCTCGCGAGCATCATCTGTCTTTGTTTAACTTTCGGTGAACAACAACGGGTGTGTTCCAATATACACTGCCAGTACTGGCAGTGCTGAAAAATTGTTCCGCTATTAGCACGCAGTGTGCTGCGA